AACTTTAAGACGATCCATTAGGGCATGTGTAGCGCTCGCTAAGTGGTTGGTTTGAATCATAAGTTATCCCAGTCATTTACCCAACAATAGTTAACTATATGAAACTTAATGAGGGGCACCAATTGAAATTTTTGTTTAAGAATGATTCATAATAGCATCGTTGATTGTGGTCTATGTTGAATTTGGTGAATCCTAATCAAGTTTTGGTCAACAAAGAGTTGAAGCTATGCATGCACTAGAAATTTGAAAGTAATAGTGACATGCCCGACCCTGATATCCATCCTCCAACTACCAAGGTAGGCACATGCTGGCCGACCCCGAAGATGACGAAGCCATATTAGAATACATGAGAACAATAAAGAAATAACTAACATAAATAAAACTTATAAATTTAAGTATAATGAATATGTAATTGTGGAACGTGTTCAGAGCATACAACTAATCCAAGATACTAAAAAGGAATAATATAAAATTGAATGAACAAAATGATGGGTCCTACACCGAAAGGACTTGAAGATGTCAATGTGGAAGTGCCTTCCTACTGGGATTGTATGCCTTGATTCTATGTCCTGAGGGAGCGCAAAACAAAACATGAGTGGACCAAGTTTATATGTATAAGTAATACTAAGACAGTTATTCAACAACGTACTATCCACCAAAGTTATGAAAACTCAATAGCGTAGCATGTAATAGGTTTTCTGAAAACCCTAGCATGCCATAAAACCTTTCATAAAACATATATTATATATAGTGTGCTAAGTAGTATTATCATAATCGACCGAAGCCACTACATCACCCAACCGAAGCCAAAAATATATTTCTTCCGACCAAAGCCACTACATCTCCTGACCCAAGCCAAATATAAATACCTTCCGACTGAAGCCAATATAAGTATCTTCCGTCCGTAGGCACTACATCTCCCCACCGTAGCCATATAAGTATCATTTGCCCGTAGGCAGTCTCATTCGAATAACCACTAAGTAAGCACATAAAAACATTAACATAATATTTCTAATATATATATATATATATATATATATATATATATAACTATCTCAATTCAGAGCTCAGTAACTAAAACATCATATCATAAAACCACGTTCATAAGTAGGTATATAGTCATCAATCATATATACCACAAAGAATGTAAAGTCGAATAAGCATGATAATTCATAAAGTGTGAAACCAATTTACTCATAAACGTTTCATAAAACATAAACATAAAATTATGCTTTTCATGTATGCATTTCTAATGGTAAAATCATGCATTTTAGAAGGGGTCCACTCACAAATACTTTGTTGTTGAAGAGTCGTGTAAACAAGAGAGGACAAAAACGCCATACACAATTGCACCAATTTCAAGATGTGTGGTGGCCGAAGTTGGCCAAAAAATGGCCTGAAAGCCACGGGTTCTTGCCGAAAAACTAGGGAAGTCTCCCCGAGGTGGTTTCATGGTAGTTTCGATGTCGAAGACACACAAATACAATTAGAAACTAATTATGAGGACCAAAGGGAAATGTTTAGAGTGTTTTCGAGGCTCACCTACGTACCATGGCCTCTGCCACGATCGAGTTTCTAGGTCCTTGTCCAGGGTTCATGGTGACGAGGTCCAAGTTATGGTGAGTGAAGGGCCTTGCCGAGACTGGTGGTTTTCAGATAGGGCTTTCCCTTGGCACTACCTCAGTGCTTGCTGAGAAAGAAGGGAAAGAAGCGAGAGTGAGTTTTGGGAAAGAGGTGAGAGAAAGGACCTTAACGGGGAGAGAAAAGAGAAGAGAGAAGAAAGTGGACCGGAGGGGGGACAACACCAAAAGTAAGTGGGCCCCACAGACATACACATTAAGACCCAAAAAGTAACCCATTTCAAAAATATCTAGCCCACAAGGTGAAAATACCAAAATGCCCTTACGTTCTAAAATCGGTAAAATTATTCGGGATGGGTTGTTACAAATAATTCTTTAAATTACTTGATAAATTTCATTACGCAACAAGAAGAGAGAAGTGGTTTTAACCTCTTCAATCACAACCTTGATTTTCATCAAGGTTGATCACCCTAATAGAGAGTCTTCTTCCCTCTTTTGCAAGCTCTATCTCCATAACTGAAAATAGGAGGATTTAGAGACCTAGAAATTCTCTAAGCACCAAAGATTTAATGCCTCTAAGACCACACCTTTTGTTTAAGATAAGTGATGGAGGATGAGAAGGGGTGAGTGGCTAGTACACTCTTGCTCTTGAAAGTGGTGGTGGTGGTGGTGGTGGTGATGTATCTTTCTCTTGTTTCTTTCTTTTGTGAAGTTACCCTCACATGCAATTGATTTCTCTTGGAAGTTCGCTCATATGACATAATGAAAGAGTGTGGTGTAATGGGAGCAGAGAATTCATGTTTTACATCATGATTCTCACAATTCTTGGAAGTTTGAATTCCCAAACTCAGTTCCACAATTAGAACAAATCCTATCAAGATTGTTATATTAATACATTTGTTCATTCATCAACATAGTGCAAATATCTTGAACTACTTAAATGTCTCACTCTTCTCTTTGAGAAATGCTACCTAAGTAAAACTGAAACACAAATCATGTGCAAGGCACATGATTTATTTTAGATGAGAAGTTTAGGGGTATTAGTGTGAGATAACAAATCAACAATTTCGGAAAATTTAGATGACAATTCACTTGAAATTTTAGTTCATATGACAAATTAAACATGTATATAATATAACATGTCAATCATCTTGCTCCTATGAAAATTTGAAAATTGTTTTTCCTTGGTTAGTTAAGCATCGAAAATTTAAAGGGTTTTTTATTAGCACTCCAACACTTTGTTGAATGCACCCCACATATTGTTTTGTTATTAAATAATGATTTTTTAGCCAAAATAGTCCTTGAGATTTGAAATCAATAGAATTGGTTTCTGAGTTTGTCCATCATTAATTATTTTGGTTATTATGTGAAAAATCTCCATTAAATAAGAATAAAATGACCAAAATACCCTTACTTTTTGTCAAATCATTTTGGCTCATTGTTTTTTAAATTGAGGTTTTATTTGTTATTTTGGCCCTTATTTAACATAATTTTGCACATAATGACTAAAATGATTTTGTTATTTCCGGAACCACTTCTATTGATTTCAAATTTCAGGGACCAAAGTGATGTGTTATACAAATCTCAAGACCATTTTAGCTGACAAGCCTTAAATAATTTATACACTCTAATATAAAATAACTATTTAGGCCCCATAAATTTTATAATAGAAATTATTTTACGGATACACCCCAAATCATATTCAATTTGTATACTCTAGTCAATGGCATTGTTGATTCCACGAAAAAGGCAATAGCCAAATCTGCCTTTTTATTTTTGAACACATTTTTCCAAACAACATGTAAGTGACGTTGGCATGGTTGATTCATCAGTGATCAATTCAATCCTAAACCCCTAATTGGAATCCCAAAATGGATGGACCTAAACCCTAAAATTGACAGAAATCAAAACGTCTAGAAAAATCTAAGAATTATTATTTAGGCTAGTCATTTGATATTAAAAAAAAAAAAGGGGAGGAAATTTTTGTTTCACTTGCTGTAGGCCATTTCACATGTTTGCGATTTTAATGACACGTTTATGATTATTCATCCATATTTGTTTGTATTTATTTGATGATTAATCACATAAATCTCGCATTTGTGAAATATCAAATGAAATACCTCATTTGTCATGCATGTTCATGTTTTCTGCATTTGATATCCGTGGGAGTAAACAACATTCATGTTAGATGTTTAATATTCACGATAGAAACCAGTTGTCGTCCTTTGCTTCTTCTTATGACGTGGTGGTGTACGTAAAGAGTGCAAGGTATATGTAGAAAGTGTGAGGTACAAGGGCAATATGAGAATGTAAGTAAGTCGGGTGTATTAAGTTAATTTTAATTAGAAATGTATAAGTGAAGAGTATTCAATATGTGAAGTGTATTCAAAATGTGATGTGTCTATAAAGCAACTCAATTTAAAAAGCAAGTACAACAAATTCCTCCATCTTCATAGAAATTGATAAATTTGTTAAAATGGTAGGTTTCCAAATCCTAACTCCCGATCGGTTTTCAGTTTGTCGTCAATATTTAATTTTTATGTTGTTAATATAAATTAATTTGTAGTCAACACTTAATTTTGATCAGTTATACAATTATAATTTAATTTCTAATTATTTTGATCAATTTTCGAAAAAAATAAAATCTATGGAAAAAGGTAATTCCTGATTTTGTTGACAAATTCATTGGAGGGCTTTTTGTCACATCTTGGCCCGGGGTCCACCACATCCCGGGCCCGCTCCACCACCGTAGCACGATATTGTCCATTTTAGGCCCCGACCACGTCTTCACAATTTTGTTTTTGGGAACTCAAACGAGAACTTCCCGATGGGTCATCCATCCTGGGAATGCTCTCGCGCGCTACTCGCTTAACTTCGGAGTTCCTACGAAATTCGAAGCCACTGAGCTCCCAAAGGCTTCGATCGTGCTCATTCACACTTTCTTTGGCAACATCATCCATAACATAAAATTTCGACATCACAATCAATTAAAACTCTAACAAATTGACCAAGAATGTTTAATGTGTCCATGATCAAGTCCGAAAGATTCTAAGCATCTTGCAGATCAATGTCTCATCTGTCCACATGTAAAACTTTCACTGCTTTCCCGCCTACACTTAAGGAGGGCAGGGTGTGACATTTTCATCTAAAATAATCTTTAAAATTGACATAACTCTTCATTTTGATTTTTGAAATTTACCATTAGATTGTCCGCCGCGAATGATTTTTAGTCTTTATGTGAGAAATCTCGTTAAATTAAGACCAAAACTTTTTACAAAAAAAAATTAAAATGATAGGATGATGGACAATATCAAAACCATCGATTTTATATCTCAAGAACTAAAATAAGAGTTGCAAAATATCAGTACCCCTCGGCTGATGGCCGTCGTTGCTGACTCCACTCCGCATAAACAGATAAACTCATCTTTCACATTTAAAACGCACAACCACCACCACCACATTCGATTCGATTGTCAAATTGTCAATTTGTCACAGTGACAGTATTGTCCTGTCGCTCCACTCTGAATTTGCTGCAGCTGTTATTATTAAGCACGCACGCGCGACTTCAAATCTTCTGCGATTATCTTCATATGATAAGATAGTAGAGCAGAAACTTGAAGCTTGAGGGGAGAGGCGGCGATTTTCCAATGGAGTCCACATTGTCCGCAGCGACGCCGACAACGGCAGCTCTCCTCGCCGTCTCCAAATCCCTCAACCGCCGACCGGAAAGGAGGACCTTTCTCAGTCAACGCCTCCCGAGTTGTCTTCTTGCTCGCAGGCACCTCACTTCGGTTCACACCAACTACTACGGCTTTCAGGCCCCTAAACATGATCCTTTCTCTTCCTCGTCTCTGAGGAGTCTCTGCGTCGTTCGCCCGCTCTTACGGCGCCGTTTAGAGTGCGTTGGTGGCGGCGCTGCTTCTTTTGCCTCTGGTGGTGGAAATGGTGGCCTTGGTGGAGAGAGTGGCGGCAGCGGCGGTGACGGCGAGGGAGGTTCGGGCGGCGGCGATGCCGAGTCCAAGGTTGCTGCTGCTGGAGGCGATGAGGTTTCGGCGCTCTCCACTGATGTCATTGTTCTCGATGTTGGAGTATGAATACACCATTACTAAAACCCCTCTCTCTTACTCCCTCCCTCTCTCCCTCTCTCTCGCTCCTAGTCAATCTGATTGATTGGTGATTTGCTTGGACAGGGAATGACATGTGGAGGATGTGCAGCCAGTGTGAAGCGAATTCTAGAAAATCAAGTAAGTTTAATTTCATTTTCTACCTCAAATTTACATGTATTTCGTTTGCTATCAAAGTTTCAAGTAAGTTTAATACCACCTATATATATATGTGTGTATGTATATATGGCAGCCACAGGTATCGTCTGCGACTGTAAATCTCACAACAGAGACGGCAATTGTGTGTCCTGTGTCCAAAGCGAAGGCTACACCAAACTGGCAAAAGCAGTTAGGAGAGACACTTGCAAACCAATTGACCAGTTGCGGTTTCAAGTCTAACCTTCGTGGTAAGCATTCACAATTGTTTCGCATTCAGCCTGTTACTTTTATTTATCGTTCTTATTAAAGTATGAATTCCATGGTTCTCAGTTATTGGAAAGTTGTATGTTTGGTTAATCCTTGTAATGGCTAGTCTTTTTTACTTTTCAAGGGCATTGCTTGTTCTTTGCTGTTTTTTCGGGATAACATTTGAAACTTGGTAATCAATGTTCATATTGATTTGGGACCTAAAGTTTGTGGATTATTTTCTTCAAGTGTGTTTTCGGTGTTACTTATACACGTATTAGGAAAAGTGTAATAGAACTGTGTTGCTTTAGAGTCCGTTTAGATTAACATTGCAAGAATCGGTGACAACTTAAACATTTTTAGTTATTGAAAAACACCGAAGTGCTAATTTTTAATGCTAGATGTTCTTGAAATTCTTGATATATCAACATGATGTTGATTAAGATTAACTTATGTTGGCAGACATTCAGTGGTGATTGTTCTGATGTTGGCTTTCAGAGTTTTTTTAGCACATTAGTTGATTGTGTTGCGTATGAGGATATAGGCTGACATCATTAGATTGTTGAGTTGCAAAATTAGGCCAGATAGGAAGTGGAAACTGGATTCATCAGGGGTCCTCTTTTAAGAAATTTTAAATTTTCTGTCTATCCTGAGTTCCAGTCTGCTTAAGTGATTTGGAAATCGAATGGTCCTACCAAGGTTCATATTTTGGCTTGGATCATAGTTCATGGAAGGGAAAATACTTGTGCTTTGGTACAAAGAGAATTACCAATTTGCCCATCTCCTCATTGGTGTATTTTGTGTAACAAGGAGGAAGTATTTGAAAATCATTTGTTTCCACATTGTCCATATGCATTGAGACTGGTGACGGTTAGTTAGGGTGGGGAAGCAAGAGTCCATTGGGTTATTCCTCATTCACCTTCAAATATTTTTTGTGAAAAGTCAAAAGAGTATGTTTTGGTGGTGGAAAAAAGGCAAGCATTTTGTGGAGTTGCATCATGTTGGCTGTCTTTTGGGTAATTTGGTTGGCAAGAAATAGAAAAATCTTTGAGAACTATAGTGGGGATGTAAGGTTCTGAGCATCATTTTTGGTTTCTGTTTCTCCAGCTTTTAGTGATCTATCATTTCTATAGTTTTATTAGATTGGGTAGCTGCTGCAGGGTAGCTTTTCAAGTTGTAATGCAATGTGAGAGGGTACTTTTCTTTTGTTTTGAGGATTGAATCAGTTTGTTGGTGGACCTGTGGTCCACTATGTTCTTTTATTATGCTTTAGTTCTTTAATGAAATCTTGGTTCTCAAAGAGAGAAGGTTGCAAAAAGAAAAAAACAGAGTCAGACATAAGAACATGAGAAGCATCGATCTTGCTTGAAAGGGTTTCTTTTCTATCTCCGTTTGATTTCAAAGCCACAACACTCTCTCTTTTCTTGGTACTCAAGCATGCTCCTTTTACATCTAAAAATTGTGATGCCATTGAATTTGCTATATCCTCTTGAGAAGTTGAGGATCAAAGTTCTTCGCAAACTTTGGGTTGTACTGTTGTCATATTATTATAATTGCTTTTGAAGGTTGAAATCGTTTCAGCTGCCATCCATCCGCAAAACAAGATGGACAAAAACTAAGTGGGGTAGGTTTGTGCTGCTTTAGAAATGATAATAGCACTCAGCAGTTTACTGGTTCAGCTGAATACAACAGACTATTATCTATTTACTCCTTCGAGCGTTGTTTCTTTACTTCAGGTTGTCCAATTAGAACCCCATAACTTTAAAATAAGAGCATGTATATATGTTCGCCTGCTTGGGGTTTCCAAATGATTTATGTGAAGCTTTCTGGGTTCAGTGGCAGGTCAGGGAGCTACGGAAGGAGATATATCACCATAGAAGTGCGAAAGATTTCTTGTCAGGCTGAACCATAATAGTTTATGGTACTTCCTCAAACTGTTGGATTTAATTTCAGTGGCGTGTATAAGCGCATAATGTTTTACATCTCTCCGTTTTATCAGATGTAACAAAAGAGGATTGAAAATCATTACTGATTCACAACTACTTGCTTCCTTAGTCTCAACCAGCAGCTCATTGTGATGGATAAGTTTGCGGAGCATTTCTGTTATGGAGCACTCATTTGTTTTTGAGATTTTATATATGCTTTGATGTAAGCATTCTTCCAAACCAAGAAATAAATTACTCCCTATTTGATTGGCCTGGTATTTCTTATGCCTTGTTTCCGTTATTTGTTTTACTAGGTCGGAGTCAATTCAGATCTTATATTCTTATCTATTCTAATTGTCCTACTAAAACAAATAACGGTTATAGGACAATTAAATTTCACGGGTAATACCCATAACCATAAACACCCATTTAAATTTCACAGGACGGTTAAATACCCATAACCGTTTATTTTGTCTTAACGGTTACCTGTATTTTAAATGGACAGGATAATTGCGGTTACTCATACCCGGGGTATTTTGCCCATTCCTAATCCTACAGCAAGAGGCAACGTAAATTAGATAATGTGCACGTATAATACAAGGAAAGTAGTTATACAACCCTAAAAGTTAGCTCACTACAAATTTATAACAAATGACGCAAGTGAACAACTAAGAGGCATCTAGGGTTGGAGGGTCTTTCCAAGGGGGATGTTACCTTGATAAGTTTTGAGTAGCAATTCTACTTCACGTGGAAAGCAATTATTTGTGTTTTATAGCATTGATATATAATATGCATAAAAACGTATATCAAAACAATTGAACAAATGCGAAATTGCTAGCAGGTTGAATTGTTCGGTGTATGATAACACAAATCACGCAAGTAACATTTTGGTAATAATACATCGTTGTTTAATACGTAAGTGGTAGTGAAAGGGAATCAAATAATTTAAAATTTTGAGAAACAAAGCATGAGGTGAGGAAAAACATAGGTTATAGTAAAAACACGAGAGAATATGCAAGTGATCCTCTACCACAGTGATGAAGAGAAGTAGTACCCTTGCACCATGGTGTAAGTTCGAACTCTGTCCACTCCCTAATTTGACATCTAATCTAACAAGCCTATTGTTTGACCAAAAAAAAAAAAAAACACGAGAGAGTATCAACAAAGAAAGCAGGTAATTAATTGATTCAGTTTCCTATAAATTAATGTATATACAAAGTTATATGAATGAATGGCAATCAATTTGAAGGGGAAGGGCAATCAATTTGAAGTGGAAGGATGTCGTTATATATCACATTCACATAACTTTGACATCGTAATTACGGCACACTTTCCAGATGCATAACCGCAAATAAGTAACAAAACTTCGGCCATGCGACATCCTCAAACGAGCGGTGGACCAAAATGGCCTGCAATCGAATTCCAGAAGCTCGTGGCCACGAACTGCAGCAACGAACAAGTCTTCGAACTGCAGCAACGAACAAGTCCTGAGCCGCATGAAGAACCACTCATAACACCAGCTGCCGGTCTCACCTCCGGTGTAAAGGTTAAAATTGACCTTATTTTGGTAGCAAAATCGGCCTTCATACCATATATGTCATCCCAACCTGCATTAGATGCGAATGGGGCACACTCAAATTTGCAGTGCCCCTCCTGCAGTTCTTCCTCAAGAAAGCATAAAAGTAATTGATGATTAACTTCTTGATAAACCATGAATCTTTCCTGGCCCTAATATCCCCGTGACCAAGAAGATAAACAACCCCTGATTCTTTGGCCTTTCGTATAAATGATAGTTCCCTATCCATACTCTGCTCAGAATCAAAAACCGTTGGATCTTCTGGAAGCACTGGCTTCACCTCTGATGTGCTTGCTTCTGATACAGGCTGCCTGCTCGTCTCCTTGTACTCAGCAAGAAAAGGAACACCAAGTGAGTAAACACTTCCATTGGGGGCTATAAGAACCCTCGAGACAGAGGTCTCATCTTCTGAGTCTGTATCACCATCATCCCCATCGCTCTCCAGTGACCGCTGCTGAGCTTCCCTACGTATGAATTTCTCAAGGCTCTCAATTAGTAGCTGTTCAAATGTTTGGTGATTTTCTTTACGAACATCCTTATAGCCATACCTATTGAAGTCATAACGGCAGATACAGAAGGTAACTAGAAATGAAGGAATGAAAAAGAAAACAAAGGAAAAAACACATCAACTGCGAACATGAGTGATTTCCGCTTCATTTGTTGTCAGGCCTACGGCAAAATAATACATCTTACTAAGCATAAATATATCCTATGACGGGTTTCACCATTTGGCATCCATGAAATACATTATGGATCTAAATTTTGCACTAGATTATACAAAGAAATCACTCTACTCTACCAAATCAGAAGTGTTAAGCATGTTACCTGGCAATACAACGAAAAATGTGGTAGTTTTTTGGACAGACGCGCCGAAAAAGGAACCTTTCACTTTGAGGCACTACAGGAACTGGAACATACTTTATACAAACAAATATGATCATTGAATGGATTGCAGGAAGTGTGGTCAGAAAATGGCCAAAGATTGCTGGTATTCCCTTCACCAGCTCATTGTAAAGCAAGCCAATGCCTGGAGCTCTGATTGTCCCAAGATTGCAACCCAATTCTCGCATCAGATCCATTGAAAGTTTTTGCTTGACTTCGGTTTCATACTTAAGCTTGCTTCCATAGTTCCAGATAAACATTATAAAGAACATAATTATGGCAAAGACCACAATAATCCAACTTCCATCTCCCACACTACACAAAACCGATGAAAAAAAGGTCAACTCCAACCCCAGGAAAATGATTAAGAAACTCAGCACGATGATTATGTTTATCTGCCATATAAGAAGCATAACGATTGTTACTAAAATGGTCGTCATCATCATCACTCCTAGCTCAGCAATACCTGTAGTAAAAGAGGATAGTTATAAAAAAAATTAAAAAACTGCATATAAATTGATTTATGTAAAACTAAAGTTCATCCACGGAGATACAAGAAGATGTAACTGATGGTAACTGTTGAAATAATTCATGACAGTGCCTGCATGTTATTTTTCAAGTGGGTAATGCCAGATCAGTGGTTGATTTTGAGTTCGAACCAAAGAGATATTTGGAATGTCCTGTCAGGTAGATCTAACCTAAGAAAAATAAGCATTGTAATGAAGTCAAGAACCTATTCACCACATACAAGCATGTTTGAGAATTGCTTTTAAATGACTGTAACCGCTTTTAGAGAATTTGTTTTTGGGTTCCAAAGGCACTTGAAGTGCTTCTTGCAAGAAGCACCAGACCAACTACGTGCTACAAAGAGAAATCATTCAACAGCAAAGACTCCAAATATCTATTATGATCTTTAACCTTAGAGAACTTTAACCACAAAATTTTTATTACAATGCCAATTTGTATATCTTTATATTTTTTTATTTGTTATAAATTATAATTTTATTAATAAAAAGTGTGAACCAAGGAACTTGATAGATTTTGGAATACCTGTCTATGTTTTGAACTTTAAAAATAAAGAAACTGTAACTGGAAAGAGGTTAGCTTTGGTGGCTATGGCAATAACAAGAACACACAGCAGAAAAAATAGGATAACTATCTTATAAAAATACAACAACAAAGCCTTTTCCCACTAAGTGGGGTCGGCTATATGAATCCTAAAATGCCATTGCGCTCGGTTCCGTGTCACATCTTCTGTTAGATCCAAGTACTCTAGGTCTTTTCTTAGAGTCTTTTCCAAAGTCTTCCTAGATCTTCCTCTACCCCTTCGGCCCTGAACCTCTGTCCCGTAATCACATCTTCTAACCGGAGCGTCAGTAGGCCTTCGTTTCACATGTCCAAACCACCGTAATCGATTTTCTCTCATCTTTCCTTCAATTTCGGCTACTCCTACTTTACCTCGGATATCCTCATTCCTAATCTTATCCTTTCTCGCGTGCCCACACATCCAACAAAGCATTCTCATCTTCCCTACACCCATTTTATGTATGTCTTGATGCTTCACTACCCAACATTCCGTGCCATAAAGCATTGCCGGCCTATAAAATTTTCCCTTAAGCTTCAGCGGCATACAACGGTCACACAACAAACCGGATGCACTCTTCATCCATCCAGCTTGCATTATGTGGTTGAGGTCTCCAGCCAACTCTTCGTTCTTTTGCAAAATAGATCTTAAGTAGCGAAAAAGCAGTTGCTCTTTGGTACTTCCTGATCTTCAATCCTCACCCCTAACTCATTTGAGTCTCCATTTGCAATGAACTTGCACTCCATATACTCTGTCTTTGACCGACTTAGGCGAAAACCTTTAGATTCCAACACTTCTCTCCAAAGGTTAAGTTTCGCATTTACTCACCCTTAACTCATTTGAGTCTCCGTTTGCAATGAACTTGCACTCCATATACTCTGTCCTTGACCGACTTAGGCGAAAACCTTTAGATTCCAACACTTCTCTCCAAAGGTTAAGTTTCGCATTTACTTCTTCCTGAGTTTCATCTATCAACACTATATCGTCTGCGAAAAGCATACACCAAGGAATATCATCTTGAATATGTCTCGTTAACTCATCCATTACCAATGCAAAAAAGTAAGGACTTAAAGATGAGCCTTGATGTAACCCTACAGTTATGGGGAAGCTTTCGGTTTGTCCTTCCTGAGTTCTTACGACAGTCCTTGCTCCATCATACATATCCTTTATAGCTTGGATATATGCTACTCATACTCCTTTCTTCTCTAAAATCCTCTAAAGAATGTCTCTTGGGGCCCTATCATATGCTTTTTCCAACCATGTGCAAATCCTTTTTCATATCTCTATATCTTTCATAACTATCTTATAAAAATAAAAAAAGATAAAAACAGAGAGGAAACTATATAGTGTTGACATAAAATGAATAAAAAGGGAGAACAATTAAATTCTTTAAAATAACATAATTCCAACAAGGCATTTTGGTGCAACAGATGTTTTACAGAAACCAAAAGACAAGTGATTGATGAAGTTGTCTGGTAAACTGTGAACATTTGGTGAGTACTATTAGGGGAAGGGATCCCAAATTTTTTTAGAGTTTGGTGAAAAGAAACCTGAACAGTTGTTTTTACGGAAAAGCTTACTTAGTATAGCTACAGGAAACCCAACTATAAAACATAGAGTTTGTTAACAAACAAATAACAAAACTGAACAGATAACGAGACTATATACTTTGAAACATGATGAGAATTACCATATGCATTTCCAATCTCATCAATGTTTGAAATAGTGCAGATAGC